CATACAGCAATGAATGCCTTACGTTAAAAGAGTATGTGACGGGTTTTACGATATCATTATGCAGTAATGACCGGTCGACCGCCTATGGGGCACCTATAAAGTAGCATTACATTCATTGGTTTACGAGCTGGCAGCTTTGTGCGAAAAATGCCTAAGCTCGGCATCGCCAGCCCCTTAGACAAAGTAACGTACATGACAGTTTTAGCTCCGAAATAGCACCAGCGATTTTTTGGACGTAGATTCTTCGCTTCGTGAAGCGATTGTTATATGAAATATGTACACACATACGAGTAGAAGCAACATTATGTATAGATTTCATATAGCCAATGTATCGCCTCGAATAAAACACCTACTCGTATGCTTTGGCAAAGTGTATTATGCTGTTAATTAATTACCAAACATAACGTTGACTCTACAGAAGGTTAATTTCGAAGACGAAATTTTAATAAAATTCCAAAGCAACCTACCTACCTGTATAATACTAAAATGGCTTGGTAGAGGGATAGCCATAGACGTGATGGAGAACAACTGGCGAGGGCTGGCTGTCGAGCTCGACTCACACTGAGTCATATTTCCGCTTATTCAGCAATTTTGTCATATATGTAGTGTGATAGATAGGGTGCCTGGATGCGAGCGGCGCAGGACCGGTCTTTGTGGAAATCCTTGGGGGAGGCCTTTGTCCAACAGTGGACGTCCTTCGGCTGAAACGAACGAACGAACGAAACGAGATAGGGAACATCTTAAAATTGTATTACCTATTACTAATTTAATCAGAAGAATCCAAGAGTTTGCAGTATCAAAATCCCTTCATCTCAAACAGAAGATAGCCAACCAAAAAGGCTTTAAGCCCTGTAGATGAAATAGACAGCACGTCAAACCGATAACGTGCGGATGTAAGGATCATTAGCTGCTCGTTATCTCACACGCAAATAAACCAGCCATTGTACAGCTCTTGAGCGCTCGTTAATCCCGCAACGATTATTAATTGCACTCTGGGGTTGATATTGGCCCAATTCCCGTATCATATCAAACGTGTATGAAAGTTACGCGTAAGAGGTGGTCGAAAATATTCATGTGGTTGAGGAAGTGGTCTACTTTGAAATCACTTCGAGGAGAAGTGGACTACAAAAGAGGGGATAAACAATATGGTAAAGAAGTCTTCTTATAATCTTAGTTCCTTGTTGGCTTTGACGTTAGTTAGTATTTGGGTCAAAAGGTCAAGTCAGGCTTATATGTGTTATGAAAAAAAAACTACTGCTAGCTGCAAAACCAGTGATTAGTCTAATTCGACCAATAACCGTCTTTGCATTCTCTGAGTCTTAATAATAATAACTCTACACTCTTTCCTTCTATTAAGTAAGCAACGTAGGTAATTAATTGCGGAATTAAATACCTACTTTGAATTAAAAATATAATTATAATTTGCCACGGACCAAGATGTCGGGCATTGGACTTGACTGCGCGTCTTGCCTCTTATCAACCTTATCAAAGGATTTAATAAATGTTTACTCTCACATTGATGACACATAAGAACTTAAAAAATATAGAAATCTAAATTCTATCATATTACATTATCAAAAGTATAGGTATCTCTCATTCACATACTGCAAAATTAATTAAATTATATTGATAAAAAATATTATTTGATCGGTAACTGACACAGGCAGGTGCTTACATATATTGCAATAATTAGTAGGAACGGCTAATTTATAAACGTTTTATTAGTAAATTGTTTATGTTAATAACTGCAAAGCTAACTAAGAATTGAATTTCTTGGAATAAAAACCTGATGATTAACACTTTTTATAGTTTTACAACATAAGCCTCTATTTTCATTGTATTATACTAACCCACACAATATGTACAGTTAAACGTGTAGTTAAACCACAGTTGAACATATTAATTTTATGGACACTTCCAAAATTCTACACCTATTTGTATTGACCCCTCCCAAAACTGGATTTTGGGTCAAACATTGACCTCTAGTAACATTATTTTTTGCATATCCAACGATGCCGTCAATATTTTGATTAGCATTTTAATTTTATTTCCAAATAAATCTTTATTGTTATTTTAATTTATTAAGATTGAATGTGGTTAATTAGTATAAAAACCAATTCGAATGAGTTTTCACAACTTTTACTTGATAATGTTATAAAAATTATACACTTAATTTGTTATTTGCATTCAAAAATGTGAAATATCGGATACGATAAATGCGTTTTACTACGTCATAGATTAAGATGAGTTCATCAATCAATCATGACATATTTTCGATCAGTAATTTTATTTTGAATTCTATTGTCAATTTCTTACCTCGATTTCTCAGCACTTGCCAAATGTTGGTCTCGAAGCGCTGGTAGGGTAAAAAGATTATGAGACATGTAGAGGCTCCTTAGGAGCAAAATATTTGACGATTTGTAAGCACTATTTAATAGTCTGTACAAATAAAGAAATTTTGACTTTGACTTTACCATTATTTATAATCATCATAATTTCAGGCACAGAATGTCCACTGCTAAACGTAGGCTTCCCCCAATGATTTCCAGATTGTCTGGCTGGCTGCCGGAATAGCAGATGAAGTGGCAATGGGCAGGGCACATAGAACGCAGAACAGCTGACAGCCGATGGGGCAGCAAGATTCTGGAATGGAAGTCATACACAGTAGGTTCCTGCTCAAAACTAAGATATTTCCTGTCAGACCTATAGCTGCTACAGATTGCGGTCATACAACTGCCTTGTTCTGCCTAAAAAAAATAACTCCACTAAAAGCAAACTTTTTTTTTATGCTAGACAAGGCAGGTATTTGACCGCAATCGCACCTGGTGTTAAGTGAGATGCAGTTTAGGATGGTACATATCTGCCCTACATACATACGTACATACTTGCAAACTAGTTCACTTACTAGGTACTAGCAACCAAATCTCACGGATGTTATCAATTTGTCTCTAAACATTTTAAGTTAAAACGTACACAGTCTTACGAATTCTTGAACGTAGGTTATTAACCACCTACGCACGTAACTGTGAAGATGTATCATGGTTAAGGTATTCTAAAGTTAATTGCACAAATCAACGATACTTGTATGTAGGCATTACAATGTCCGTTGAACTTATTAGCAAATTAATGTCATAGAAGCCAAACATTTTATGACACTCATTCGTATATTGACACAAATGACACATTCTAGGAAAGTGGTTTAGACCACTTTTACTCTTTCTATAAAACTTTGCTTTGGCCTTACGACAGATTATGTCGCGTCGTTTCAACCTTTGAGAGAAAATGTTGAAGGTTTCCCAAACTCAAATATTTTGTTTGTATACTCTGGGTTAATTTTATTAAGGTCGTGCGATATTGGCAGAACAGAAGAGCACACGAAGCGTACAAATGTTTCTAATACAGACAGATGTTAATCTATAAATGGGTTATAAATAAGTACCTACTTTCAAAAACTTGTGTATTAATTGACTAAGAGGAGAGAGACTAAGTATACAAATTATTATAATGTCATTTTACATAAAAACCTTGCAAATTAAGTTCAGGCATTTCTCAAGGGGTCCGGTCGTCGCTTCAGCGGTGTCTATGCTGAAAATTTGTCTGTGCACTGAAATAAAACAATACAAATTGCAAATTGCTTTTATACCAATTCAATGAAAGCATTGACTGTGTTGTTCTTTAATTAATTTATACTCATTGATTTTATTGCACTTTTATTAGATTGTGTATTTCGTCTGTGAGAGTCAATGTCAGTCTTCTTATAGCACTACAGGGTGACATTGAAATCGTTGGCATCCTTTTAAACTAAGACTACTCATGATACATAGCACATTCCCTGAATTCGAGACAAATCCAATGAGTTTTTTTGTCCTAATTTACTATTTATTTGTATTAGTGTGCTATTAAAAAGAGTTTAAAACGATTGCACAGTTAACAGCACATCAGACTATATATTGTTGTTGCAGAATAACACCTGATACATCGAAATAAGATGCCACAGTGTTAGGTTTGATCTACTGTAGTCTGTACAAGGTATTAATATTTAAAATTTTTACTCATTGGATTTGTCTCATATTCAGGGAATGTACTATTTACCATGAGTAGTCTTAGTTTGAAAGGATTCCAACGATTTAAATGTCACCCTGTGTAACAATACATGTTAGCATTAAGTTGTCGGATTAGCAAGCTGAAGTGGCAGTGGGCAGGGCACATAGTACGCAGAACTGACGGCTGATGGGGCAGCAAGGTTCTGGAATGGAGGCCGCGTACCGGAAAACGCAGCGTGAGACGTCCACCCACAAGGTGGACCGACGACCTGATAAAGGTAGCAATAAGGCGCTGAATGCAGGCCGCTACCAACCGTGCGATGTGGAAGTCATTGGGGAAGGCCTATGTTCAGCAGTGGACGTCCTGTGGCTGAAATGATGATGCTGATGATGATGATTAAGTTATCTAATTCTATTAAAGTATGTATTAGTTCTATTTTTGAGCAGCGCAGGACCGGTGGTTCTTGGAAATGTTGGAGTAGGCCTGTCTACCTATATTATCTAATTAACACGATTTAAAGATAAGTATAGGTATTGGAAACGTTTAATTTGCTTGTACAGGATTGATATCAGTATTGGAAACTACTGAAAACGTTCGGGAAGTCCCAATGAGTCGCGTAAATTCAGTTCAAAGATTCGCAACACATCAGTGTATCTTAGTACGGACAGTAGCTTCCCGGCGGTATGGGACAGCTGTTATTTTTCAAGCTTAAATCTTATGGAGTAGTAATAGTGATAACGGCCCTGTGATCCTAACCCTCAACGCACGGTGCGTTTTTTTTTCAGGTCTACTATCACCGTCTTTCGAGCATATTGTATCTCACTTTATGAGACGGAGAACAATTTGGAAACTACTGAAAACGTTCGGGAAGTCCCAATGAATCGCGAAAATTCAGTTCAAAGATTCGCAACACATAGTGTATCTTAGTGACAGCGGACAGTAGCTTCCGAGTGTTCTGCGCGTACGCACGTCTGTCGATGTCACAAGCGCGCGAAATATTCCGACATGTTCCGCGAATTGCAGTGATTAGTGAAGTGATGAGTGGGATCTAGTTTGTTTTGAGTGATATTTCTGGTGCCTTTCTACCATCATGAAAGCGTTTTTGTAAGTTTTTTTTTTGTTTTTACAAACAGTTTTTATTTTCAGGATTTTCATATTTTAACCGTCATGAAATCGTTTTTGCAAGTTGTTTGTTTATTTTTTGAAAAAAAAAAAAAAATTTTTATTTTAAAGGTCCATTATTTTTAAATCCTTTATTTTGAATAATTAATATTCGAAAAATTATTTTTTTATTGAAATGTAATTTACATTAGGTATGTTAAATTCAAGTGATGAGTGAATGAGATAATTGTGTTGGAAACAGTATTGAATTAAAACTTAAAGTAGGTACTTTTATTATCTAATAATATCTTAACTTTTTTATTACTTTAATTAATAAAGTAGTTAACATTAAGATAACAGTTTCTAAGTATCTGTAAATAAACGACAATTATACTGACATACACACCTAACTGAAACTTGAAAATAAGTTCAATAAACCCTACACATTTATTAATTAAATCACAAAAACAAAAGCGTTCTAACTCTTCATTTTATTGACATTCGATAGTACACAAATAAGAATAAAAGCCATATAAAACATCAAAGCATCTAAAGTCCCGAAATCCGAATACCATCCAATAACCGTCAGTGTCAATGTGGAGCTGAAGCTGTTTGCATTATACTAAAAATTTATAAGGTTACGTGACAACATGCAATACCGGGCTTAGGGCTTTGTTATACATACGGGCCTTGAAAAAGGCGAGCATGTGCGCACAAAAATTTAAAATCTCCTGTGTAACACAAAACTACGAATCCATTTCAACACAGCATACTAAAATATCTAATTACTCATATCTCACTGATATAATTAATGTGAAAGTTTGCGAGGATGTTTGTCACTCTTTAACGAATAAACTAGGTACGGTTCTATATTGGCTCACATAAAATTCTAAATCCTATTCTTTGTCTTACTACCGATTTGTGTTCATAATAATCTCTCTTCATAATTTTATTTTTCATACTTATTTATTCATACATTTTTATTACTACCATCGGAGCTCATAACAGTTAGTGATCATAATTTTTTTATCAATACTGTTACTACCAAGAACCATTTAAAATACATAATTTTTATTTTCAGATCTTTTTTCTTCATAACATTCATTGATCATATTGTTTTAATTAACAATGTTGTTACTAAGAACATACTTCAACTCATAATGTTGTTGTTCAGAATAATTTACTTTATCTTTACAGACATACTCGTATCTTTAAAAAAATCATATATAATTTAATAGAGTAGATAAGCATGCAGCATGCATTGGTATCTCCTCGTCTCCGGCGCTGCGGGATGTGCAGCCCTTCCGCCCTTGCGTAACGAGGCTCAGGCACCCACGCTTGCTTCCGCAGCTTCGGCTTTTTGGATCGCCATCGGCGCCTTCGGCGCCTCGGCGACCAGCCTCAGCCGCTCCAGCTCACCCGGGCGCCTGAGCCTCGTTACAGCGGGCGAGGGCTGCCCTCCCTCCGCGCCTCCGGCTTTTAAATTACACTCTAGGGGTAGGGCAGACAAGACTACGTGGAGTCGGTTTTGCAGCGATTCGTTTCTGTCACGTTAGTTTTGTGGCACAAAATATTGCCTGTTTTGGACCATTTCAAATTAATTTAATGTTAAAATACGATTTAATACGAATATAGACATCATGATTTTCAATAATATGGATAAATACACTTATGAGTAATAAATTTATGAAAACAAATATTAGGATACATCACATTTATGAATATTATAGTTATTTATTCGAATGATTATGAGTTTCGATCATTAGTATAGAAAAATATATGAAAACAAATATTAGTAAAAAGGTAAAAACTAAGTGATATTATGAATATCAATGATTATGTTTTTAAATATGTAGGTTTTAATTTTTTTATGAAGAATGATCATTATGGTATCAAATTGTATGAGAAATATTTTCGGACCTCCAATGATAGGAATTGAAAAGTTATGTAAGAAAATGCGCTACCCTAGGTACTGAACAGATTTTGATGAAACGAAATTTCATCAAAATCTTTAGTGAGTACGAGTAGCTATTTAAATACAGTAGTGCTTCATGTAAATATTGTGTTCGGATATTAATATACTTGTTTTAGTTTGAGAAAAACAATGACGAGTATGTACTATTACAATACCATAATAATCTATCATGTAATGACCTATGACCTGTTATCACATATTATTATTGAAAAAGCATTGCTCGATCTTTGGCAGTGACACAAAAAACCAGTTAGTCACACTCTTCCTACAAGCTAATAATATTATGTAAATTGATTACATATTTACTTAATGCTATCTCGCGTTTAAAAACAATCACTCTTTTACATTCAGAAAATGAGTGAGGTTTGTTCACCGGTCTTTAACCCCGTGTGTAGTTCATGTGTTAAGAAAATTTTACCTATATGACTAAGAATTTTCAATATTGGACATGTATTGGCGGCGGCGATGAATATTATTGTCGTAATACGTGACTTTACCTGGATTTTGGAGCCTGAGTGTACAAAATATGAGATCGATTTTCAGATGAGCAAAATTTTTGGAGTAGATTTTGGACGCACACCAAGAATAACAAAAATCTGAAACGATATAAAAATTTAATATAAACCAAAGATAGGAAATGATAATCTCCTTGTAGTAAATATGAAGCGAAATGTTAGTCGATATTTTTTTTTATAAAATGGGACTTATCTTATATACAGGGTGTTAGGTAAATGGGTATATGAGCCGACACTAGCCCATGTTATCATGGTCATATAAATGGTATGGTAAAGTCAGAAATTTGATATCATCATTTTATTTTTTTTAATTTTCATACAAAATAAATTTAATAAAATCCGATTTGTATGAAAATTAAAATAATTATAATGAAGATATCAATTTTCTGACTTCACCATACTATTTATATGACCATGACATGAGCTAGTGTCGGCTCATATACCCATTTACCTAACACCCTGTATAAAAGAAAGTCGTGTTAGTTACACCACTTATAACTCAAGAACGGCTGAACCGATTTAGCTGAAAATTGTCAGGGAGGTAGTTTAGAGCGAGGAGAAGGACATAGGATACTTTTTATCCCGTTCGAAATAAAAAAAAATCTGCTTATTTATTGCCATTAAGGCGGAACAAAGTTCGCCGGGTCAGCTAGTTCGTAATAAAAACGACTGAATAACAGCAGCTTATGTTTAGTCTGACTCTGATATAAAAATAACTATGATCTCTATACTATTTATTATACAATAGGCGATAGAATTAAACTGTGACTTATTTTATCGATGAATTTGCATTTGATTTGCATATTGAGAGAAATAATGTAATTTTACTACCGATTTATTCAAATCTCTTCCAATTTATAAAATGTGACCCGTATCTTTATTATCTATGCCATTATTTATCAACATGTCAATAACATATTAAAACAAATCTTTGACATAAAGAAGCGACCAAATACCTATTAAAAATAGAAGTAGTAAAGACACATTCTAATATTATAAAGATGAAAGATTTGATTGTTTGTATAGACTCCGAAACTACCTGACTGATTTGGAAAATTCCTTCACCATTATACTTCTAAAATTATCGCTAATGACTTTTTTATGCTATACAATGGATGAACAAATACATTTGGTGATAGACCGAAATTAACGCAGGCGAAGCCGTGGGCAAAGCTAGTGCGATAATATAAATATTAAGCCCAATGTAACCCACTAGACTACAAGTTTGACAACTCTTACACAAGTATTGTTATCAGAAATATTTTACACAAATTAGGTATTAAGTGGTTTTAGAATAGTGTTTTAAATATTCCATATTATTGTGTGGTCACAAGTAACCAATCTAATAAAATGTAACAATATTTACAAGCGGCTGCTATAAAGCTTCTGGTTTCTGCCAAGAGTGCAACACGACGAGAGCGTGGGTGACCTTTTCATACAAATTGACAGCTGTCAGCGTGTATAATTAACCGGTGTGTCAACAATCAAAAATTATATGAAAAGTTTAAGGCTTAACATGCAAATTCTTATGAGGGGGCTTACACGGATACAGAATACACATAGCGTGAAAAGTTAAATTATGTAGTTTATACAGGGTGTTAGGTAAATGGGTATATGAGCCGACACTAGCCCATGTTAACATGGTCATAGAAATGGTATGGTGAAGTCAGAAATTTGATATCATCTTCTTCAAACAATTTTTTTTTTATAAAATCCAATTTGTATGAAAATTAAAATAATTAAAATGAAGATATCAATTTTCTGACTTCACCATACCATTTATATGACCATGTTAACATGGGCTAGTGTCGGCTCATATACCCATTTACCTAACACCCTGTATACATAAAATAATTATACACAGTAAATAAACTAAAGCTTTATTTTGAAGTTTTATATCGAACAAATATTTTCATTTTATTTCAAGTATTTTGAGCGCCGGCAGTTTTATGACCCAGGACAAATGAAGTGCCTACCTATATTTTTTGTTAACTGCAATTCATTTTCGAACAATTGTATGCAGATTTTGTAAATCTGGCATGTATGAAAAAATACAAAACAATGTAAATTGAAACATCTAAACATATTAATGACATTGAAATACCTACTCTAAGATTCGAACCATTAAAATTAGTAGTATAAGTATATCAAAACTCAAATTATAATAAAAAAATCTTGCGGCACGGCACAGGACTTTCTTAAAAAAAAAATTAAATATATTTTTGTGTAAATCATGACTGTGTACTTACTTAATCAAAATTAAGTTAATAAGCACATGTTTCAATGTACTTTATTATGTAAACCACTCCAGTCCGAAGCAATTTGAGAAGTTTATTTTATATTTTACCAACCTACCTATCTATAAAATATGTTGCCAATTAAGCCTTGCCATTCAGACACATGAGACAGTTACATTTTATGTCACAGCACAAATCACATAGGTACGACTTTAACGACATAGGTCGTTATCTACTGTGTAATCCATTCGCAAGAATTATTCCATCTGATACACT